GGAATGCCCTAACTGAAAAGTTACCATAAAGCATGTTCCAAGACCAGTGAGAGCTCTAGGACACCAGAGAGAAGCAAATACATTATCTCTTGACCTTTGCCCGAAGGCAAAGCCCTCATGAGCTCAGAGTTGCAAATTACAAACATGTGACGAGACAAAAGCAATCTATGCTCATCCTAGAGAGCTTGGAAAACACCGAAAAGCGAAAAGCGAGAAGAAAACCTCACATTCCCCAACCCCCTCCTCACTCAAGACAGTCTCTTTTCTTCTACATGTTGTTTTACGCAGTAGAAATCACGTAGCGCATGCAAAGGCACATCACAGATTCACAGATGGAAGATGATATGAAGAGAGAGATTTGACAATATATGATCTCTAACCACTGGGTGGTTTATTTGTTATTCCAGTTTTTAAAAATCTCATTACTCAGATCACTGAATACAAATTTCAAAGATGTACAGAATCATCCACTAGGATTCTTTGGGGAGGAAATGGGCCATTCTGCTCTTTCATGCACCTCTGTTTGCAGAGGAGGAAGAGACTTCTATTTAGTAATTCTCCCCATAATGAGTTCCCACTGTGAGAAAGTTTAATAGTTCTTAGCAAGTGCTAGATCAGCACGGTCTTGGCGATTGTTTTAGGAGTTGTGAGACAAGCATCTGAGCTGAGATGAGAAGTGTATTGCTGACGAAATATCTTAATCTCTTTTAACTTATTCAAAGCCCTTAGAACCAATCTATGGTCTTTGAGCACTGATGGCGTATGGCAGGGAAGCACTGCTAGATATTTGAAATCCAGATAAACACTGTGTGAAGTTCTGCCTGGGACCTTAGAGATCATTGTATAGGTGAGGAAACTGAGGCCTGGAGAGGTTGAGTTGTACGACGTATCGGAGCTAGTTGGGGGGAAAGCTTTGACAAGCACTAGACTCCTTATTTATTTATTAAAAAAAAAAAATTTTTTTTTTTGGCCCCTCGGCTTTTGGGATCTCAGTTCCCCAGCCAGGGATTGAACCCGGGCCACGGCAGTGAAAGCACTGAATCCTAACCACTAGACCACCAGGGAACTCCCAGAACTCCTTATTTAGAGTCCAGTACTTTTTGCACTGATAGGGTGCTTCCCCTGTTTATTTTATGTGATTTCACAAACAAATGCTAACCATCTAGGTACTGCTGTTGGCAATCTCCCCCTTTAATGAAGAGGCATAGGGTTGCAGGAAAACTAGCATATTTTTGGAAGGCTCCACAGCATGAAACTGAGTCAAAATGAAAGGCAAACCGTACAGAAAGGATCTGGGTTAGGGGCCAAAAACTCAGATGTCCACAGGAGCCCAGCAGATCATGTAAATGATTGAAGTAATAGCCTATCATAACTGTCTAAGAATACAGTCATGATATCATGAGAACTTCTGGTGTTTCATGAGGAGCTCAAAATCTGAATTTTTGTGTGGTATTTCTGAATTTTTAATTGTTGAGTACTAATTTTTTTTTTTAGGAGATTAAATACAGACTAAACATATATTTGGAAATCTAACATGGGCTGCTAGTGTGTAAAAGGTGCCTGTGAGAATTGTGTATCTTTTAAGACCATTTTTTCTATCCTACTTTCTCTTTGTATATATACAAGAGCATATGTGTGTGTTTTTATATGCATATGAGTGTATAGGTATGTGTGTTTACATATATAATTGTGTATATAATATGAAACTGTTTTTACATGTATAAACAGAATCATACTCTGTTCTGTTAGGAAACTTGCTTTCTTAACAGTATATCTTGGGCATCTTTTCTTGTCAGTATGGTGAGATTCACCTCATGCCTTTTAATGGTTTCATGGTTTTCATTGCATAAATGTCCCACAGTATCTAATCATCCTCTGGCATAATGGATCTAAAGAAGTTGCACCTGGTTTTTCAATGATTAGAAACTTTGCTGCATTGATGCTTTCGTACATATATTGTGCAATTGGGCAAGATTATCTGTAGAATAAATTCTTAAAAGTTGGATTATCAGGTCACAGGGTATGAACTTTTAAAAGTTTTGCTAGATATTCCTAAATTGCTCTTGAAATGGTTGTATGAGTTTACACGCCCACCCAGAGTGTGTGAGAGTGCCTCTTTCCTAGAAATTCTTAAATAGGATTCCAACATCTTTTGTCTTTCTATAGGGTGTTTCTGTTCTACTTCCATTTGTGATTTGAATATATCTAGCATGTTCGGGCCTTGGATTCAGTTTCATTGTATGAATAGCAGGGCAGTTTCTTCCCTCAAGAGCTCTCACCTTGGCTTGCCCAGCAGGCGTCACCCCAGAATCCAGGGGATGGACGAATCCTTGCCTGGAACAACGTCTGATGTAGTCAGATTTGCCTTAACTCTTCAGGTTATGCCATGATGTACTAACCTCTTCTACCTAGAATATATTTCTCTCTTTTTTTTAATTTTTTTTTTTTTTTTTACTTTTTTATTTTTGGCTGCATTGGGTCTTCGTGGCTGTGCGTGGGCTTTCTCTAGCTGCAGCGAGTGGTGGCCACTCTGTTGTGGTGCGCAGGCTTCTCATTGCGGTGGCTTCTCTTGTGGAGCACAGGCTCTAGGCATGTGGGCTTCAGCAGTTGTGGCTTGTGGGTTCAGTAGTTGTGGCTCGCGGGCTCTAGAGCACAGGCTCAGCAGTTGTGGCGCACAGGCTTAGTTGCTCCGTGGCATGTGGGATCTTCCCAGACCAGGGCTTGAACCCGTGTCCCTGCATTGGCAGGCGGATTCTTAACCACTGTGCCACCAGGGAAGTCCCTGGGATATATTTCTGCATTTTGGGAAAGTATTAGTTGTTTCTCTCACACACACACAAATTCACATCATCTTGAAGATATGGTCAGTGGAAATATTCTGTTAGCACCAAAGATGGAAAACCTAGTATTTAGACATTCATGACTAAAGAAAGGAGACTTCTAGAGGTTTCAACAGAAGTCAGAGCTGCATGTGGGCCTCCTCCGGCTCCTCGTGGTTGACCAGGTCTTTCTTTCCTCAGGACTCTTCTCAGGGGAGCTCCCAGAATGTACCCAGGAGCTGATGATTGACGTCACGAAGAGCTACTACCAGAAGTTTTTGCCCTTGACACAGGTCTAATGTCTCTGCCTTGTGTCTCGAATTCGCTTGAGCTCTAAGATGAACTTGGGGACAAAGTGAGCCAGTCAGCATCTACAAAGAGCTCTTGTGTCTTTGACACCTCCCACCCTCTTTCTTTCTTTTTTTTGGGGGGTTTAATTCTTTAGAGTTTCTTAATCCTCCCAGGCTCTAAGCTCTTAAGACTTAATAACAGAACATCTAGAGGAGTTGTCTCCAAATGCTGTACTTAAACCGTATCTATTAACAGTCACTCCGTACCGTTATGTGTGGAACATGGACTCATCTGTTTCCAGCACTGCCACCCCTTGGTCCTGTGGGTGGCTGGATGGGGTAGGGCATTCTGTCCCAGTGGGGAGGTTGTGACGCTCTTGAGCTGCCCATGGCCATGAGCTACCACAGTGAGCTCTGCTCACAGGGATCACTCAGCTTCCCTGCTGCTCACACATTTGACCAGTTGCCCCAGCTGCTCATAATCTGGAAAAAAAAGTGTTTTGCAACTTTTCAGAGCCCAGATTCCTGTTGGCTACTAAAACTTGAAGGGAGGGTAGTTAGTATTTCTCTTCTTTCCAGAGTGACCTGAACTGTCATTTTAATTCAGGGTGACTAATAAAAGACTTTCTAGCATCTATTCTAGGGCCTTGGCTTTCACTAAAAGGGGGGCCCTTAGTGTCCAGATTTTATTTTTGCAAGGTCCCAGGTTTGAGTCTCCCACATGGGTGGACTAGTCTGGCAGCCACTCCTTGCCTCATGGTGTTTGGGGACAGCAGTATATGCCTTATTTCACTGGAGATGTAGCATTTGTGACACTTGCTCCCTGGCCTAAAACCATTCAACCCACCCTTTCTTTGCCATAAACCTCACAGTTCAGACCAAAATATCTGTACTTGGGCCCAATCTCATATGTACATGGGGGCCTCTTAAAATCATTCTGGGGGCACAGAGCCCCAAGGAGAAAACGAAGTTGCCAGGGCCGTTCTTATCTTCTGGGTAATAGCACAACCCTTCCTGTTCTGCTCTGGCCTCTTGGTTTAGTAGGAAGATACAGGAGTGAAGACCTGAGAAGGCTGGCCTTGCTTGAAGCTCTGATGCTGCTGTGAATGGGGTAGGACAGTTTAGCCTTGAAGGTTAGGATCTAGCAGCAGCTGTCTTGATTTAATATCTGGTTATGGGGTTTGCAAAAAGAGCTGTATGTAGTCATCTCTGCTAGTTCAATGTAAAACTTCTTTCTGGTTTGTAATTTTTTATGTTTGTGCATTAGAAGATTGACACATGAAACAAGTCATTTGAAGGTGATCACTGTCCACCTCCAGCGATGGCAGCCTCTCGTGGGCACTTCACTGTGTGCCTGGTACCCTTCTGCAGGCTTTATATTCACTTGCCTACCTAGGGCTCACACCAACCCTGTAAGCTGGACGTTATCCCCACTTTACTGATGAGGAAAAAATTCAAAGATATTAGATAACTTGTTCCAGTCTTCGTGGTGAAGAAGTGGCTGACCCAGAAGTATACGTGTGTGCATGTCTGCAGCCCACGCTCTTCAGGTCTGCCCTGGTACGATGGGACAGTCTGCTGTGTCCTGATACCAGCAGTCTGTGATGGTTGCAGGTTTTGGGGGAGCCATATCTGCCAGCTCCCTTCCCCTTTTGTGCCACCAAAATGGTGGATCTTGTAGTTGGCAGAGTTTAGATGTGCCCTAGGCTAACCTCTTGCTTCCTAGAGAAATCTTCCAGGGCGTATCTGACAGATTCCCTTCCAGCCTGTGTTTGAATACCTGCAAAAGGAAGCTTGCCACTTTATACGACTAACTGTTCGTTTTCTTTTTAAATTTATTTATTGAGGTATAACTGACGTATAAGCTTTTGACTGTCCATTTTGTTGGTGAACAACCAAAATTAAGAGAAAGTGGGGTGTTTTTTTCCTGAGTCTTTTAAAAATCTTTAAGTAATTTGAGTACATGATTCCAAAAATCCAGTCCAGTTAGTACAGAAGGGACCTACAATGAAGTAGATTTTCCCAACCCAGAGTCCAGTCCCATGTTCTGCTTCCCAGGGGCAACTACTCAGAACAGTTTTTGATCTGTCCTATCAGTGGTTAGTCTGCGCTTGGCACAAGCAGATACACACATACACACCGACCTCTGTATTCATACAGATGCGAGCACATGCTAGATGTGCTGTCCTGCACCTTGCTGCTTTTACTTAACAGTACCTTGGAGATTGTTCCATTTTGACACAGACAGGTGATAAAAATAACAACTGTTAACGTTTATGGTGTTTACCATGTACCAGGTACTCTTCTGAGTTCTTTACCTTTCTTAGTTCCTTTAATCCTCACAATAACCATGAGGTAGGTCCAGTTTTCCTCCCCAAGGAACAGTGGTAAAGTAAATTGCCCACACTTCTACAGCTAAGGTGATGGTGAATCCAGGCATTCTGGCGCTAGAACCCATACTTTTAATCATTATGCAGGAATCCTTCCATGTTCTAATACCTTTCATTGCCCAAATTGGATCATTTGGCCAGCCCTTGCTGTACAGAAAGCATTTTCAGGCAGGCAAGGAAAAGGGGGTTGGGAATGGGTATTGCTGACCCATCCGGCAATGTCTGCCACAGGCAGGAAACCTAATGCTTCCTCTGAGAAGACTGTCTCCTTGCTATGTGCCCTGTTGTCTTGCAGCTACAGTTGTGATCTGACTAGTTAAATGGGAGCCAGTTTCTTGGGAGAATTATCCTGCTTGCAGCCATTAAATTGCATCATACAGTTCTGTACCACATGGTTGGCACTCTATAAAGGAACACAGAAACTAGATTAGACAAAAATCCAATTAGAACGCTTGTTGCAAGTGGCAGAAATCCAGCTTGAACCAATTTAAGCAAAAAAAGGGGCTTTATTGGCTTACACAACAAATCACGGAAAAGACTAGCTTGAGAAGCAATGTAATGTGAACCCTGGGCAAGTTACTTAATCTGTCTGTGCCCTCCCATTGTAAGTTGTACAGTAGGAATGACAGTAGCACCCCATAGAATTGGAATGGATTAAATGAGGTACTACATGTAAACATTGTGGGCAGTTCCTGGCACTTAGAAGCACCCCATAAGTGATAACTTATCATTGCAGGGACAACTATATCCAAGGATTTAAACCCCATCAGGGCTCTTTGCTTTTATATCTTTTTCACCTTCACATTAGTAGTGATATAGATTAGGCTGCGAACCATCAAAATACAGAAGATTATTTGAATACGAAAGAGAAGGTTATTTGTCACTCACCTAACAGTGCAGCAATAGGCAGGTGGTCCAGGGAAATGTCATCAGGCACCCAAGTTTCTACTGTCTTGTCATGTGGCCACATTTAGCTGCAAGAGAGGCTGTAAATTTGGTGTCTAGCTGAGCAGCCAAAACTCTGAGGAAAGAGGTTCTGGTAGTAGAAGGAGAGGGAGAGAGTGGACGTGGGGAGACAGCAAGCCGACCCCCCAGGCCTATGTGTTGGCTTCCTTTTCTGCTGCTGCAAGTGGGCTTTCTGCATGCATCAGGGCATGTGGCAGCTGACAGCTCCAGATTTGCATCCTCCCAGCTTGGTGACCCTGAAAGAAAGGTTTCTTCCCTCCAGTTCTAATTTGGGAAATTCCAGAGAAGGGTTCTTACTGGTTTGTCGTGAGCCCACTGTGGCCAAGAGTGTGTGGCCCTATGATTAACCTGATCTGGGTCATGACCTTTCTTCCATCCCTGCATTGTAGAGAAACAGCAGAGCCCATTTCCAAAACAAGGTGCTGGGAAGACAAAAACAATGGCTACTACGAATAGCTAAGGCGTCTATAATTATGGACTGATACTGTTTGAAAGTGTGTTGACAGTCGTGTGTATCCTAGGAAAAGCCAGCTGGACTCTGTCTCCATGGTGGCTCTCACCCCAGGGACAATCTGTCACCAGACAATTACTTTATAACCCCAGAGAAGAGAGTCGCTTTGTCCTCAGAATACTCCTAGAAGAGTGGGGATGGAAGAGACCTTGGTTGGGACTCTTTCCAGTTGGCTTAGGGCAGAGAGGGGATTATTGGCTCATGTAGCTGATAAGGCCAAGTCTAGAGCTGCCTTTGTGCTGGATCCCAGCACTCACAAAAGCGTCATCAGGGACATGTCTCTCTTCAGCTCTTGACTCTGCTTTTCTCTGAGTTGGCTTCATTCTCAAGCCTTCACAGTGTGATGCTGCAGCTCCAGTTATTGGTAGAAAGAGCTCCCCTTCTCTGACAGAACTCCTGGACCTGGCTCTCACTGGTCCAGATTGGAGGTATCCAGCCTCAAGTAACCACTGTGGCCAGGAAGATGGAATACACTGATTGGCTGGGCCTGGGGCACATACCCACATGGACTGAGAGTTGGTGCCTGGTGGCTGTGGTGGGGGTGATTTTACCAGAAGAGGAGATGAATGGGTGCCAGGCAGTAAAAATCATCAGGTGTCTAGTTCAGACCTTATCCCCTTCTCCAGATGTCTTCTTTGCCCAGCCTTATCCCCTGCCCAATCTCTCACTACTCTTGGTCTTAGGGAGTACCTCCTCAGGGGTACCTGGGCCTGGATTGGGACCACAGAGAGGATATTGCTTAGCCAAAGTGGAGTGTTCAATAAAGAGCCATTTGGAGGATGCTCCTCTGCCTGGAACTGCTTCCTCATGGGCCCCATAGCACCTTATGGAAGGGCCCTTGTCAAGTTCTCGGTAGAATTCTAGTTACGTACCTGTGCTCTTGTCTGAGTGCATGCTATCTATGAGCTCCTGAGGAGGCAGGCGTGAGCCTGTGTGTATCTGGCACATACTTCATGGTTGATTACCTGGATGTGAGTCCCCCTACCCCTGGTCCCCACCCTACCCCAGATAGGTCTCACATTGCAGGATCCTGGGTGCAGGGAACAGGTTGAACAATTGACTTGTGAGCCTCCTGTTGACCGATTCTGTTTCACGTGGCTGCACAGGGCCCTTGTGGTTGGTTGGGATCTGTGGTGGCTTCTGAATTAGTCACTTCTGCATGAGCCAGTTCACTTAGAGCCGAGGCCACAGCGCCTTTCTTAGTGACTTTGGCCCATCTGGGTGATGACAGACTTGAAATGAATCAGACAAACATTGCTCCTATTAACACATCCTTGGAAGTTTCTCAGCTATAAAGCAGTGATCTTGATGGCAAGGGAAGCCTCCCTTGGTGTCTTGGTCTGGCTGGTGCGAGCCCACAGTGTGTCCAGAACATGGAGCTCCAGCCACATTCTGACTCACCCTCAGCCATTTGCCAGGACAGATTGCATCTAACAAACTGGGGGGTCACATCTACCTGGCTGATATCCTATAGGTAGCTGCTGTGGAGCTGCAAGACCCTTGAAATGGCATTGGCAATATTGGAGCAATGTGTTCAGAGGCCTGGTTATTTCAGAACAGGTGTCAGCAAAATATCCTGCCAGCTTGGACCAGTTCCCATAAGTCCATGATCACTGAAACACTTCTAGAGCCCCAGTGATGGGACTGTGTTTTTGTAGAATGTGTACTTGCTGCCCCTTGGGGCTAGGAGGGGGGCGCCCTGACCACAGGCTACATCACTCATTCATTTAACAGATACTTACTGAGCCACTACTGAGTGTCAGGCACTGCCCTAGTGGAGAATGAGACGGAGCCAGTCCCTGCCCATAGGGATCTTACAGCTTAGCCCAGAAAACAAAACAGAGTTCTGTGATGGAGGCCTGAGGGGTCCTTCTTGAGGGTCACCATAGTGGTGAAGAGTGTGGGTGCTGGGGGCAGCAGATCAAATCCCACCCTGCTGTTTTCTAGCCTTGTAACTTTGGGCAAGTTATCTCACCTTGTGGAACCTCAGATTTCTCATCCTTAAAATGGGGAAGATGTGTAGGGGTCATTATGATGCTTAAATGCATTCGTACATGTGACGCATGAGTACAGGCTCCGGGTAAGCACTCAGTAAATGGTAGTTACAACTACTATTATTAGGAATGATACACCTTATAGTATACTGGGTGTACTATACTATTAGGTATACCTTATACTATTGATATTATTAGAAAGTGAAACTCTTTATTGTATAAGGTGCAGCATTCCTATATATATATTTTTTTTAATTAAAAGTGAAATTAAGATCATCTTTCCCTTTATAATCAGTTCACCAGAAAGAGGAGTTGGGGAAAAGAATTGACCCTTCCTTGCTTTGCATCTATGGGGTGCCAGGCACTTATTAGAAAACACTCCTCCCAACTGTCAAAAAAGTAGGGATTTTTACAACCCATTATGCA